TGCGGCGCTGTCGAGGCTTGGGGTGCCGGGGTCTAAATGGGGTTTGGGGTTTGGGTTTTTGGAGTTCAGGGTTAAGTGTTTGGGGTTTGGGCTTTCAGGGTTTAGGGTTTAGGGTTTGGGGTTTGGGGTTTGGGCTTAGGGTTTGGGGTTTAGGGATGGCTTTTAGGGGTGATGTTATACGGCGTTCCTATAAGGAGGAGCCCTAGAGAGTAGTATTCTGCTTATTTGAAGTTCAAGCTTCGATGCTACTCGAACCATTAGGGCCCAGAGGTTCAGAGACGCGTGTCGTGGACTCGCAACACCTGCCCCTCGGAAAATTTCGACGTTTCCACCTCCTGCAAAGCCTAGCGCTTCTTTCACGGGCGTCGCACAGAACTTCAAAACATGTCGGAATCCCGTGGGGGCCTACCTGACCTACCTGTCTTTGAGGAGGTGCTTCTGGCACCAGAGACATCTCACAACTCTCACAACCTACTGTAACTCACAAAGCTGCTTGCTTCGACTGAACAAAGGGCAAACACCCTGCAGAGGCCTTTTATACCCTGCATATGGAACATTTAGATTAGACTGTGGACTCAGCCAGCCAGGCGCAAATGCGCAACAATTTAAGAAGCCTTATCATGATCATGAGTCAACACTCTCGCACCTCCACATCCGCATAGATTGCAGATTTTCAGGATCCATAGCCATAGACCCTAAACCCAGCTTTGTGACAGAGGGGTGAGAGACATCAAGACACGCGGCTTAGGACGGTAAACCCTAAACCCTAAACCCCCAACCCTATACCCTAAACTTTAAACCTTAATAACCCTGGAAGTCGGAAACCCTGAACCCTAAACTCCAAACCCCCAACCCTATACCCTAAACCCCTAACCTCAGACCCTAAACGACTCTGGGAGCCTGAATCCTCAAAGGAACCCTAGAAGGAGCCCTGAAGGCGAGCCTGAATCCTTAAAGGAACCCTAAACCCTGAACCCTAAACTGGTTTAGGGTTTAGGGGTTTAGGGTTTAGGGTTTAGGGTTTAGGGTTTAGCCCCAACTCCAAAACCCTAAACCCTAAATCTTGAAAAGGAGACCTCTTTCAAAACGAGCCTGAATCCGAAGTAGATCAGCCAGCTCTTCTTCCTTCCTCCCAGGGCCTGGGATGCAGAAAGGGCACTCGCAAGGGAGCATACGGTGTGGGGTTTAGGGTTTAGGATTTTGGGGTTCAGGGTGTAAGGCTTAGGGTTTTGGGGGTTTGGGGTGTCGGGTTTAGGGTTTTTTGGGGAGAGAGTTGAAGAACACCATACCTATAGTCTCCACGGTAGTTCCCTTTCGGTTTCACCAAAATTAATATTGAAAGATCCTACGTAGCCATAAAAAGGCTTAACAAACAAAGGAACTACAATGGAGACTATAGCCCAAAGGGTCCTAGGTACTGTTATGGGGGATGCTTTCCCAAATCTGAGTAACAATTCCTAATATAGAGACTATAGAATTCTACTATACCTAAACCCTAAACCCTAAACCCTAAACCCTAATATACAGGTACCTCGGACCCTTTGGGCAGGTAAAGCTTCATGAGCTCGTCCTCGAGCAGGTTCTAAGTTTGCACACGCAGGCATGGCCACCAGAATCTCCCGAGCCACAGTACCCACAAGCCCAAGCCCAGAACAAAATGTATTAGGGTTTAGGGTTTTTTATGGGTTTAGGGACACCAAAACTATGGAAGCCTTGCATACAACAGTCTTCATTACGGGTTTTAAATCATTTTGAGTTCAGTGATCTGGGAGGGAATGCAATCCCACCCTAAAACAGCTCCTACAACAAAACTCCCGTGAGCCGAGTTGCCCAATACCTGTAGATGTTGCCAGAGATCGGCCGCACGTTCTGAGTCTGCCCGGGGGCGAGTCTCATGACCTGCGCTCGTAACTAGCAGCCTCTCCCTGAGGTACTCGCATGATTCGCAGGGTTCCAGGACGAACAGAAGTTTTGCACTTTTCGGATCATGCTGCAGGTGTTCGGGACATGTCGGAGGTGGTTCGGGGCTGAGGTGATGCGAAGGATCGCAAGCGGCACAATCGCTGAATGCCCCGGGGTGCACTACCCCAACAGCGGATTCAAACTCCTGAGGCCCCTCTACTGCAGCATCCTGATGTACCGAATGCATCGGTTTCCTGTTCAGTCTGACCTCTTTTCTGCTCTGGGATGTGACATGAGAAGTGGCGTAGCACCTGTGCTTCTCACGTCTTCGCAGCCATAAACTCCCAACTCCGACAAGCTTGGATTCGAGTTTAGGGTTTAGGGTTGAGGGTTTAGGGTCTATAGAGGGTTTAAGTACAATATTGTTTCAATGTAACACCCTCAACCCTGAACCCTGAAACTCTAAACCCTAGTAACCCTAACCCTTCAAGTCCGAAATGTTCAATCCGAGACCGTACCCAGAGGCTACATACAGACTACCATTCTGGAATTAGCTCCCAAAAGACCTATTATGGCTTTAGGGACCTAATTCCACAATGGTAGTCTATTTGGAGCCTCTGGGTATATTGATCCAGGGCTTGGCGTTGTTGGAACCGGCTTCTTGGAGTCTCGCAGTCTGCTGACCGTTTGTTCATAGCCTCCCTGCCACTGGGTGATGTAGGGGCCTTAATAGGGTCTTGGGCTCCTTTATAGCAGTATGGTTTAGGGTTTAGGGTTTAGGGTTTAGGGTTTAGGGTTCGCTAGCATATGTGTCTTGAGGAACCCTATCGAATAGTATTGGACATGATTTAGGCTTCTGTATTGACTTGCACCTGTTGGACCGCCACGCGCCCAAACTTTGAGAAAGATCCCTCTGGCAAGGGTCATGGACCCGAAACTGCCACGGGTACGTGTACGGGTTTAGGGGTTTAGGGGTTTAGGGTACACTCGGTCCAAACATGAATGTACAGGAACCCCGGTTTAGGGTTTAGGGTTTAGGGTTTAGGGTTTAGGGTTTAGGGTTTAGGGTTTAGGGTTCAAACATGAATGTACAGGAACCCCTGAAAAGGCAAACAACTTCCAGGGCTCTTTTTCTCGGGATGAGGCATCAACGAGGTATGTATTTCTGGGTTTGGGTGAGACATGCTAGCCACGAAAACTTAGTGGCTTTGTTTGAGGACTGCGCCAACTAACACCCTTTTTCGCACCCCAAAACCCTAAACCCCACAAAACCCCAAAACTCCTAAACCCTAAACACCCTGCAAGGTGCCAAATGCTAGGCTGCACAATGCGCAGGAAGAGCAAGGGTTTGGGGTTTAGGGTTGAGGATTATAGGGTCCAGGGCCTAGGTTTAGGATTTAGGGTT